TCTTCCTCTTATAGGCAAATTAACCCCACTGCTGCAACTTTTGATCTTGCCCAAAAGCACTTGGAGGGTAGTGACTCATTAGCTTTTTACTTGGAATGCCACTAGAAAGTATTCTTTGGCTGGTAGTAGGTTAGTCTTTATCACTTGTTACTTCAATGGTAAGCATGTGGCTTGTATTTGGCTGAGAAGGCTTCATTTTGCCTTTGAACTTGGTGCTGGGCTTCGGACAAGTTTCCTTTAATTAGGCACTCTTAGGCTTTCATTCATTTAAGCCCAATGTTCAAATATTAACACCAACAGATTCTTCATTTCTTCAATGGTAAGCATGTGGCTTGTATTTGGCTGAGAAGGCTTCATTTTGCCTTTGAGCTTGGTGCTGGGCTTCGAACAAGTTTCCTTTAATTAGGCACTCTTAGGCTTTCATTCATTTAAGCCCAATGTTCAAATATTAACACCAACAGATTCTTCATTTCTTCTTATGTATAAATCAAAAGATCTCATTAATTAGACATTAGTCATTGCATGCATCCATCGCATGGATTCCTATTTTCTCCTATTGCATGTATACATGTACGTACAAAATAAATTTTGGTTGATATTTTTTTCTTCATCCCAACCTAAGAAATACAGGAAGTTTAACGAAAAGCTCCCGGTACTGTTCATTTTAACGAAAAATCATATTTTTATACTAAAAAGTCATTCCTGGTACTATTCACTTTACCTATTTTGTTATTTTCGTTAAAACTCAAAGTTTTCAAGCCATTTTCATTAGTTTTCCTAAGAAATAGTGATGATAAAATAATGAAGAAAACCAGTAGCCCCAGTAGCCCACGGTAACATTAAGCTATGTTACGTACATTGCCTTGAATTGTACACACTACTACAGAACCTAGCTTACTTCTCTGATATTTTACTTTTTCAGCCTTCAGGAGCAGCCATCTGCAGGTATCATCATCTCCTCTTCTTCTTCTTTTTTGTAAAATTTAGTTTCATGTCTTTAGATAAGTTGAAGTTTAGATCAAAACATGATGTAAGACTGAAAATGGATTTTAGTCCTTTGATTGCCTGTCCATGTTAGCATCTCTGTTCCAACTCAATAATTTCGTTACGAGGCCATTCATCAGATTAATTGTCAATAAAATTAATCCGCCATTCATCTTTCTCTATCTAGCTCTTAAGAACATTTCAACCAATCCAGAACGTGATAGAAAGGTCGACATATATATATATATATATATTTATAAAAGATAAATAGAGTAAACTGCAGCGAGTCTGCAGTTGCCTCCAAATATTAGTATAGGTGCTTTGACCCTGCGATGTGTTAAAGGTCATCAACTGTTTAGAAAATTTCCCTGCACTGAGAATCTCAATATTGGCTTGTTCAGAAGTGACCTAGAGCAAAACTTTATGTTCAGATGGGGTGCTGTAGGATACCCTATGGCTGTGTACAAGTAATACGATTGTGATTGGTAAGCAAACTTATTATACAAGTAATACGTCTATATTTTAGTACATTATTCAATTAGCACATCCAATTGTTAATTATTCCAAAATTTCTCTCAAAAACATCGTCTCTAACTCAAATGTAATCAGCAAATGATTATTCTTCTTTGAGTATTGTGTGCAATAATGTAGCATGCGCATTACCTTGTTCGAACTTAATTGGGTTCTCTTTCGATAGGCTGCCAAGCGCAAATATCTTCTCTCCATGGCTGCCATAAGTCATGGAATTCGAAAACTTAACGGTAAGGTATAAACATAAACCAGTCAAGGAAACTAGTGGGAGAAGTAAAGAAACGGTAAACATATGTTAATTAGACGAGCATGCAAAAGATAGAACATGCAAGAAAGAAGAAAACCTTAAATATGTATCTGTTTCTCTTAGGGTGCTTTAGATGTTAGCCCTTACAATTCATGATTCCTAGATAAAAACCCGTTTACATATAAACGTCCAATAAAAGTTCAAATTTAAAATCTGCAGCCACATGGGAACACTATTGACCTACTAATACAATTTATTTACACCCATGCTATTTTCCCAAATCCCTAAGTTTATTCCAAATTAAAAGTTGTAGAAAAAGTGAAATAAAATATATAAATTGTTGTATTGCATTCATTGTATCCATATCATACCAAAAATTTGCCTTTTTTGTGATATATATATATATATATATATATATTGCATTAATTGGGAAGTAAATTAATTTGTTCCAATTATTAAAAAAAATTATAGTAAATCCGTATTATATATTTTGAATCAAATAGCACTTCTCTAACTTGTAGGTAAATTATTTTTCATGTATTGTTATATATATTAGGCACGTTTTATTGTTGTATAAATATAGGTATGACATAATATTTTTCAATTCTTCTTGTTATGGGTAAATTATTCTCCATGTATTAGTGAGAAAAAGATATTATATTACACACGGGGTATAATTTTTTGTAGGTAAATTATTGGAAATAATTTGTAGGTAGGTAAATTAATTTGTTCCAATTATATAAAAAAAATATATATACTACACCTAGATTATATATATATATATTTTTTATTTTTTATTTTTATTTTTTTGAGAAAACCTAGATTATATATTTTGAATCAAATAACATTTTTGTGTACATGGTAGGTAAATTATTTTTCATGAATTATTACATATATTAGCCTATTAGGGACTTTTTTTGGTAAAAATATATAAAGTAATATGTATATGATTGTTTGTAGGTACAAGATAAAATCAAAAGCATGATCCAATTCCTAAGTTTATGCAATATTTTGTTGTTGGTATACATTATTTAGCATCATTGGAAATGAACATTTCAAATAGTAGGTAGGTAAATTAATATGGTCTAATTATATAAACACACACACACACACATATATCTATATATATATATATATATATATTTATACACATTTTGAATCAAATAACATTTTTGTAAATGGTAGGTAAATTACTTTTTTTTTTTATGTATTATTACATATATTATGGTTTTTTTTTTTTTTTTTGGTAAAAATATATATATGAACTCATAATGCCAGATACATAGAATTAAACCAACAATTCTCATATTTGATATTAATATGCAATGAATTTTTTAGCATTAATGTCTTATTTTTCTTTTTGCAAAATCATTTACTCTCTCCTTACAATCTGCATAGAATTAATTGTGAACATCAAATATGCAATAGGGGTATTTTAGGCATTTAAAAATGTAAAATGTGTAAAGTAATATGTAATTAATGAATTCACTTAGGTGGATCCTAGTCACTAGGTTCTTTTTGAGTAAAAAAATATGTCAAGTTTTATATGAAAAAAATTGAATTCAAAGGGTTAAAGTCATACTTTCAGTTTCTCTTATCACACACAAACAGACATGTAAGAAAGAAAACTATTATTATGTACTCGATTTTATTTCACGTGGATATTTCAATGTACTGGTGGTGCTTGTTGTAATGACCGTTTAAGAAATTTACTTTCTTTGGTGTTTGTGTAAGTTTTTTTTTTTTTTTTTTTTTTTTTTTTTTGTCAAAAGAAGTGATAGTTTATTGTATTTTATTTTATTCGACAAAAAAAAAAAAGCATCACTTCTTTTGATCAAAATATAAAAGAGAAGAACAACATTTGGTTTATAGAAGTTGGAGAGAAATGACAAAATGAAATTGCACAACGAAAAATTAAACCACTACTACTATCGTTTGTCAAAAAAAAAAAAAAATTGATAGTTGATTTAAGTGGTAGAAATTGACTTCTTAATATTAAATTCTAGATTCTCACAAAGATTCAATAATTTTATTAACCCTAAAAAATTAACACATTTTTTGTTCTAAAGAGGTGTGCCATGTCATTTTGGATCCACATATACTAGAGTGTTTGTAAGCAGTAATAGTATTCTAAGCTAAACTAAAAGAACATGGAAACATTGAGTTAAAGAAGAATGTCCTATCCATTAGGTCAATCCCGACCTACAAATTAGATCCAAATTGAAACTACAAGATATTGAGATAAACAAAAAGTAACTACATTGATTAGGTTCGACTATAATATGGTAACTGCATTGATCCGACTTGCAAGTTGGAACTGAAGTGAAACCGCAAGATACTTGGGTCATAGCAACATCGATTGAGTTTGAATATAACATGGTAACTACAATGATTGGGCTCGATTCTGATACCCTCTAATTTACAGAATGATCATAACTTGAGGGAAAAGAGGTTGAACACACAACATTAATCAATTTGCCTAATGCAAATATATGCATTGTTTTTGAAATATTTCCACCTAGTGCCTAGGGTTAGGCTCTGGCCACCTCACTGATTAATGCATAGACATTTGTAAATCAAAAATGACACCTAAACCTGCTTAAGCGCCTAACCTGCTTAGGCGCTTGCATAACCCGTATAGGCACCACTTAAGTCGTGACTCTCATTTAGACAGAAAATAGATAACTTTTGGTTCTTTTTTAATTTTTTTAATAAATTGTAAGAGACTTGTTGAACACTTAATAATTATATTCTGGTTCTCATGTTTTCAATATGTTCTAATACTTTCTAATCTATATGCCATTTTATCTTTTTTATTTTATATATCTCAATACAATTATGAATTTTTTAAGTATAAACGGACAATTATTTATACAATATATAATAAATTTACATAAATTCGTTTAATCCGTCTCAACCTCAATCCACTAGCACTAGTGCCTAGCGTTCTCAAAACCTTGAATATATGTATACTGAAATTAAGACCAGAGATTGGTTATCTTGTTTCTATATCAATATTTCACAATTCACATCACACGTTTAAATTCCTCCTTTTACAAACAAACCAATAAAATAAAGATAATGTGGCCAATAAAATAAAATAATTACCGCTCTTCTGCCACCATCTTCTTCAGTCCTTCCTTCTTCCTTCCTTTCTTCCCCAATCTCTCGTCATCCTCTCTCTCTCTCTCTCCTCTCTCTTCATCTCCTAAAAACAAGATCTTGGGCTCACCATCTCTCTCTCTCTCTCTAAAACTCAAACACCCAATCAATCAAAAGTTTTCTTTTTGCTGCAATCAATGGATCTGGCGCCGGAGGAGCTCCAATTTCTGACCATCCCAGACATCTTCAGAGAATCCACCTCCATCCCCAAACAGTCCCCCAAGACCTTCTACCTCATAACCCTAACCTTAATTTTCCCTCTCTCCTTCGCCATCCTCGCCCATTCCCTCTTCACCCACCCCCTCCTCAACCAGCTCCAAGCCTCCTCCACCGACCCCGCCCAGCTCCACCACAAATGGTCCCTCCTCCTCCTCTTCCAATTCTGCTACCTCATATTCCTCTTCGCCTTCTCCCTCCTCTCCACCGCCGCCGTCGTCTTCACCGCTGCCTCCCTCTACACCTCCAAGCCCGTCTCCTTCTCCAACACCCTCTCCGCCATCCCCAAAGTCTTCAAGCGCCTCTTCATCACTTTCCTCTGGGTCTCCCTCCTCATGGTCTGCTACAATTTCGTCTTCGTCGGCTTCCTCATCCTCCTCATCCTCGCCATCGATACCCATAACCCCTTTCTCCTCCTCTTCTCCGCCATTGTCATCTTCCTCCTCTTCCTCGTCGTCCATGTCTACATCACCGCCCTCTGGCACTTGGCCAGCGTCGTCTCCGTCCTCGAGCCCGTCTACGGGTTCGCCGCCATGAAGAAGAGCTACGAGCTCCTTAAAGGGAAGGTTGGGATGGCCTTCGTCCTCGTTTTCGGCTACTTGACCCTCTGTGCGGTCATCGGTGCCGTTTTCGGGTCGGTGGTGGTTCACGGCGGGGAGGATTATGGGGTTTTTGTGAGGATTGTGGTTGGTGGGTTTTTGGTGGGTGTGCTGGTGATTGTGAATTTGGTTGGATTGCTATTGCAGAGTGTGTTTTACTATGTCTGCAAGAGTTATCATCACCAGGAGATTGACAAGAGCGCCTTGCACGATCATCTCGGCGGCTACCTTGGAGAGTATGTGCCTCTCAAGAGCAGCATTCAGATGGAAAACTTGGATGTCTGATGGTAAAGGAACAACATTGTCTTGGATTTAATGTGTAAGTTTCTGTGTACTAAATGCTTGAAAGGTAAAAAAAATTTGCGTTAGTTACTTTGTGGATACATATACATGTTTGTTACTTAATTCTTTTTTTGCTTAATAAACATTTGAGTTAGTTGAATTGCATTAATTTGCTAGGGGTTATAGTTTTCGTATTGCGTTGAATGTCGGAAAACTTTTCTTATGTAATTGCACACTGTTAAATGTCAACAGATTAATTCTAAACTTCGGCATCCAAAGTTTGAGTGTCGAGATTCATTAATAAACTAGTTGTTACAGATTCCTTAATCTTGTGATGCTATCTAACCATATTCTAGGGTCAGGTTGTGTATTTTGTCCTAACCTGACTGAAAAACCTTCAGGTTGTTTAGAAAATATAAACGTGAACCCGAAGCTAAAGACATTAATATCATCTTAACAGAAGGAGCCAGTTCTCTTAATAGTTTGCATTCCTGTTGGATTGTCTACGAGGTAGCGTTGTTTATTAGTTTAAAGTCTAGTCCAATATTCAAAAGTTCTGTGTCTCTTCGTTTATGGTATGGACATAGACAGCTAAAACTAATTCTATATCGATTGCCACTTGACTATACAGTAGCATTGTTGGTTTGATTGTCTTACAGGGTCTCTAGCGTTAGCGGTTTTGATCTTGATGATCAACAAGTAAGCCTATAGACCTTCCAAATTTTTTGTATATTACGTGTGGGTTTATTGCCTTAATCTAATCTTATAGATGGTTGCATATTTTCTGTTTGTGAAACTAGTGTTCCTCCAAAAGTCCATGGTGGAGTATTCTTTAGGTAAAGCATGTCTCCTGGGGATCTTGATTCCATTTGAATCTTTTCAAATAGTTTTCATAATTTGAGATCTCTATCGTTTGGTTGGTTTTGCTTTATGATGAAGCCTTAGAGGTTAGCTATAATGGGTTAGGATTAGGATAGGTCTAGGTTCGATTCCCGCAAATGTAAACAAAAAACAGTTACCGACAGATTGAGGGTGCGTACAAGATCATTTATATGTCGAAATCCTCGGGGACGCATGCCATATAATGTTTGTAACTTAATGCTTATTTCTTTGTTGCGGTTGTTCTGGACGGATGAGAATTATATGCAGCCATTAAGAAAATCAGCGTCAATTTCGTGTTAAGATTGGAGTTTGATAAGAATGCAGGGATTGTGGAACTTTTTGACCGTTGATATTGCGAAATTGTGCTTAAGTTCTCTTAACCCAACGAATATTACATGGTCGAGTTTGTTCTTCTCTTGGATCTCTCCTGTTTGACTGGCACCTGCTTATAACTAATGTTACATTTATAAGTTGTGTCCATGAATCTTTCCAATTTCTCAACAGGGAATTCACTTTGGCAATGAATTTAATTTTTATTTGGTAAAATTGGGGGTCAAAAGACCCAAGAAAAACAACTAACTATTAACAAAACGTGTACGAGGAAACCCAACAGCATCCTCAAAGATCAACCTATCCACAAGTGGAGGAGGCTCATAAAAAACATGAAGACCAATGTCAAACTTATGGCCTAAATCTGCCATACCATCAGCTACTCTATTCTTCTCACAATAAACATGAGAACCCGAGCAAATCCAATCCTTGTGCAATAACTCCCGGCAAGCAGTAATGAGATGAGCAAGAGGGTGCATAGAGGAATTAAAATCCATTACTAAAGTAACAGCCACAGCGAAGTTCAATTCAACAAGCACTTTTCTATAACCCAATCGCCAAGCAAGAGACAGACCATGAAAAAGACCCCATAACTCAACATTAAGCACACTCCCCACACCAATATTTATAATGAAACCAGCAATCCACACACCTGCAACAACACATAAAATCCCACCAGCACTAGAGCACCCCTTGCCACTTTTCCTACTGCCATCCACATTCAACTTGACATAATTAGGAGGAAGAGGATCCCAGGCTAAAAAAATCCTACTCTTCACAGGCTTAGCACCAAAATTTTGCACCTCGAACCACTCTTTAGCAGCTTTAAAAATGAAAATCTAAGGTTGACTTGGGAAAATGAAATCAAACGCAAAAATGCTTAAATTCCTCCATTTCCATAACCACCAACAAGCAAAGGCAAAAACACCCCACCAAGGCAGATTATGGCAGAGCAATCCTCTCGAAAAAAGATTCACTCTCATCCAATCATGAAAGTCAATATCAACCGAGGACAGAACAATTGAATGCATACCCAATTGATTCCACACAACCATCACAAAAGTCACAACAGGAATTATCAGTCATACCTCTCTTAGCTCTCTGTTCATTGCAAAGCAATCTCTCATGCAGAGTCAACCATAAAAAATGAAGCACTCGAGGAGGTAGCTTAAGCTTCCATATATCACTCCAACTCCAATCGGCAAAAACTTGATCATCAATACTTGCAAGATAAGCTAATTTAACACTAAAATTTCCATCATTTGAATGCTTCCAAATAATAGAATCACTATCTCCATCGTTGAGACCAATAGGAATTGCAGAAATCTTCCAAACATATTCCTCCGGAAAAACAGCTCTCAAGGCAGAAACATTCCAACAATTACCATAGCAAAAGTCTATAACCTTTGAAGCTTAGCAGAAACATCCAAAGGAATCAAAGCCTTATCAGCGAGAATGTCATCATCAAGCCAGGCATTAAACCAAAAACTAATATTAGCACCTGAGCCAACCCTCCAAATAAGACCATTTTTCAACAATTGACCACCATAAACCATAACCCTCCAAGAGCTAGAAGCTACCTTACCAGTTGACCATTTGAGAATATCGGAATTCACCCCACTTAAGTACTTACCTCTGAAAGTACTAGCCCAAAGACCATCATCCCATTGTAACAAACGCCAACTGGACTTAGCCAAAAGAGCAGCATTCATGTACTTTATTCTCTTAAGACCCAATCCACCTTTGTTCTTCGGAAGACAAACAGAACTCCATCTAGCCAAACAAGTTTTACTTTTGACTTCAGAAGAACCCCACAAAATTTTCCTATTCAATCCATCAATTAAATCATAAGTGCTGACTGGGAGCTTGGCTGTCTGCATCACATGAACTGGAATAGTTGAAGTAACCGCTTGAATAAGAGTAGTTCTTCCAACAAGAGATAAAGTGTTGGTTTTCCATGCAGAGAGTCTACTCTGAACCTTGTTAACAACCTCCATATAGGTGCTGGAATTAATTCCAGAATGAATTAAAGACACACCTAGATACGTTCCCAAGTCCTGAACAATTGGAGAGCCACAAATTTCACTAATTAGATCAACAACACTGCTGTCCACATTAGAAGAGCAAAAAATTTGAGTCTTCTCAAAGCTAATTTGTTGCCCAGACAAGCAACAAAAAGTGTCCAAACAACGTTTAACCACTTTAACTTGAGAAATAGAAGCATCGCTATAGAGAATAATATCATCTGCAAAAAACAAATGCAAAATGGCAGGCCCCTTTTTAGCCACTTTGACAGGCTTCCAACATTTATTAAAGACATCTTCACTGATAAGATGCCCCAACTTCTCCACGCATAACACAAAAAGATATGGAGAGAGAGGATCACCCTGCTTAACACCACTTTCCGGCCTAAAACTAGTTGAGCATTCCCCACTAACTACAATCTTCTAATCCACTTTACTTACACAATCCATAATAAGCTTGACAGTTAAATCATCAATACCCACTTCAACAAGCACTTCCCTTATAAAATCTCATCTAAGTCTATCATAGACTTTAGATAAATCAATTTTCCAAGCCATATAGCCTCTGGCCCCTCCAGTGATGAAAAACATATGCAAAACTTCCTGAGCAATTATAATGTTATCAATAATATGTCTTCCAGGGATGAAACTAGCCTGATTAGGGTTGATAACGGATTTCATAATAGGTCTCAATCTGTTAACAAGAATTTTGGTCAGCACCTTATACCAAGTAGAACACAAACTTATAGGACGAAATTGGGAAATATCTTGAAGGCCATCAACCTTAGGAACAAGAGTGATTAAGGTACTTCCAAGACCATCTGGAATAAAGCCTTCTTAAAACACTCAGTAATAAGACAAAGGATGTCAAAGCTACATAACTCCCAAAAATTCTGAAAAAATGCAGCAGAGTAATCATCTGGCCCAAGAGCCTCAAAAGCACTAATAGAAAACAAACTATCTTTAACTTCTTGAAGAGACACATCTTTTAAAGCACCAAGCAAAGACTGATCGACATAAGGGAAAAGATTAGGCATCACACTGTTAAAAGTCCCATCAAAAGAATCAGCAAATAAAGAACAAAAGTGATGTATCGCAATCTGCTTGAGATCTTCCTTATCCTCCACCCACACACCATCATTATTCAACAAACCTTCAATTTTGTTCCTTCTCCTTCTAATGATGGTAGAAAGATGAAAGAACCTTGTATTCCTATCTCCCTTTTGAAGCCATTTAACTCTTGATTTTTGCTTCCAAAAAATTTCCTCCTGCTCAAGAAGATTATTATATTCCTTAGATAAGGAAGTATTCAACCTCAACAAAAAAGGCCTGCAATTATTACATAGAGCCTTTTGAACACCCTTAATTCGAGCAAGTAACCTTATTCTCTTCCACTCAAGATGACCAAAAATATTTTTATTCCACCATCTCAGCTTACTAGAAAGAAAACCAAGTTTTTGATTAATACCAACATCTTGGGACTTTCAGTTAGACTCCAAATAGTGCTTGGAATTCTCATGCTTCATCCACATTGCCTCAAATTTGAACGGTTTGAACTTTGGATTGGGAATATGCTTGCTTTGCCAAGTGATGAGCACAGAGTATGATTAGAAATAGTTTTTGCAAGGTGTTTGATATGAGCTTTAGGAAACATCTCCCTCCAACCAGGATTACAAATTGCCCTATCAAGCCTTTCAAAGACTCTTACACCATTTTTATTAACACTATCCCAAGTGAAAAAAGGACCCAAAAATCCCAAATCCACCATAAAATTAGCATCAAACCAATCCTTAAAACCACCCAAACTAACGCTTCCAGAGCCCCCCTTCTTTTTATCACAGGCCAACAACTCATTAAAGTCTCCAACAAGAAGCCAAGGAAGATCACATCTAGACTTAAAATTATAGAAAAATTCCCATAAGGCATTTCTCTTTTTAATATCAGGGCTACCATAAATAGCAGAAAAATACCAACGACGCTTACAATCATAAAATACTTGAATAGTAAGAGCTTGCTCACAAGCTTCAGCAAACTTCACCTTAACTTTAGTCTCATTCCATAAAAGCCAAATACCCCCAGAAAAACCTGTAGCATCCACAATCTCCCAACTACAGAAACTGAAATTTCGAATAATCTCTTTCGTTTTATCCCCATTGATACGGGGTTCCACAACAACCAACAAATCTACTTTATATTGCATCACCAACTTCTTTACAACAGGGGCAGCCATATCTCTCCCAGCTCCTCTGATATTCCAAGTTAAAATTTTCATAACAACTACTATAGAAGAAGGGGCCCAATCAGGTAAATCAAGAAGAAAAGAATGGTCCTTTCCCAACATGGGAATTAGGACCACCCTTAGAAATCATATCATCCATAAGTAACGAACTGCCACCCACCAAATCATCTTGACCTTGCATATGCAAATCATTACCAATAGTCATGTCCATCTCACCACAATTACTTTGAGCATGGATATTAGGTGGTTCATGACCATTAAATGAAGCCTGAAACCCAATTGAGCGACTAGCAACAAGTCTCTGCCAATCCTCACTACGAAACCAATCAGTTGAAACAGATTCACCAAATTCAAAATGAGGATGAATCACACTAGAATTTTCCACATCAGTGCTCTTCATAAAACCAGTCTCCTTTTGAGTATCACTTTTATGCACAGAATTAGAAATATCAGCCAGATGAGATCTATTAGAAATAGTGGTCTTCTTGACTTAGGAGTCCAAACTTTAGTACCAGCAGCATCTCCTCCAACATTGGAACCAATATTGGCCTTGAAAACTGGATGAGAATGATCTTCTTTCGATAACACAGAAAAACGAGACCCAGTAGCCCCTTTATTAGTACT